ATTAGAAATAAAGAGAAAGAAAAAAAAAAGGGTCCCATCAATGTAGTAGAGAAGTAATTAATAGAGTTACAGAAACAAGCAAAAACAACACACAAAACTAATCTGTCTCTGTAAGAAGAGAGAAGAGAAGTGCATGAGGCTCGGAGAATCGGCGTGACATTATTCAATTTTATTCACGGTTCTACTTTGGACCACTTTTCTTTAACGCCTTTTGTTTGTCACTCGTTCTTTTTTTTCTTCTCTCGATTGTTTTTCACTTTCGACCCTTAAACTCTCCATAAATTTCGAAACTGATCCCTCAAAAACATTATTCTATCTCTCTCCTTCACGTTCTCCTCCTTATCCCTTCTATATAAACACTCGTCTTCTTCTTCACTTGATGAACAGAAAAATCTCTCTTTCTCTTTCTTGATCTGCTACGGTGAAGTCTATGGTGCACCGGCATCTGATGAAGCTGCCAGCATGATCTAATTAGCTTTCTTTATATCTGTTGTTGTGTTTCATAACGATGGTTAAGAGATGAGTCTCGATTAGATCATGTTCGCAGTTTCACCCGTTGACTGTCGCACCCTTATATAAACCCTAATTTTCTCTCTCTCTTTTTTTGTTTGTTTGATTTTCAAGAAACTTTGTTTCTCTTTTTTCATCTGATTATGTGAGATATTCAAGGCTATATTTCTGTTTCATCTGAATTTTCATTATATGATTGTGTGTGTATGTGGATCTAAAGGAGTTTTTTTTGTTAGGGTTATAGAGTTACATGACTATAGGAAACCCTAATTTGGCCTTTGAAAAATTGAGTATATTTTTTTGGTTAAATGTGAAAATCTTCTTATGATGAAGCTAGGAAAGAAGAGCTTTGTTTTGTTACAGATTATAGAATTGAAAAAAAATGAGTTGATTATCTATAATTACTTTTTTGGGGATCTCAAGTGAGACTTCCTACTTCTTCTGTTTAGTTTTTACTCATACCTGTTCTAAGAAAATAGTTTCATGTACATGTAATTTTGCTTACAATAGTTTAGGGTTTCTGGGAAGAAGTACTTGAAACTGAGGTTGTACAGGATGTCAGGATTGATACATATTTATGTGTTTTCAAAATTTTATATAAAGTTCGTCTAAAGATCTTTGGAGTTACTTGTAGTTGCTGGGAGCTAACTTTACTTCTGGATCCTGATAGATTAACCACAGATATGCAAACTAAAAATGTTAAGAATTTGAAGGAAAAAAGAATCTGAATTTTTATAACAGTGTAATGATGGTTGTTCTAAGAAAAATGTTGTGCAAAAGACTTTTAGGCTTTGGAGTCATTCAGCTTTGGCCTAGAAAAAAATGGATGTTATCTATAATTTGGATGGCCTCATGGATCTTAGAGATGTATTTAGATAACTGGAAACATGGTCAGTGATAGAAGAATCAAATAGTGTTTCAAATTAAACACACAAAAAAACATTGAACAATTAAAATACACAAGAGATATACGGATATGTCAAATTTTACTGTTTCATTGCTGGAAATGGTCCCCTTTGCATGTTTAAGCTATACACATAAACTAGTTAACAATTGTTTCAAGAATCAAATTAAATCACTACATTTTAATTCTATAAATCAAAGTTAATCATATACGCAAAATATATATGAATTTGTTCATGATCAAAACATTTCTCGGCCTCATGCTTGATCAAATTTCCTGAGTAGCCAAGTACAAAATGATCATCAAAAAACACTAAAACCAAAAAAAAAAGATCATCTTCTTTTTAACTCACCGATCGTCATCAACTAATAGGTACGTCTATTAAAGGGATGATATGATTCGGTTAATGGGATTTTGTAACTTTGGCTTTTCTATATGTATGGGAAAACTCCACCGAATGTACAATTTTTTTCTTTTTGTCTAAATTTAAAAATGAGATTCTCCAAGTTGCTTTCGTCTCTTTCAGACTTTCCTTTAATGGTTTTAGTTCGTCAGTTACAAAAAAAATTCGTCTGTATGTACATAATTACGTTTGTGGATATATTTACACCAAAATGTATCACTCTCTTCAGTATCACATTCAATTTTCTCCAACCGTTACTTTTACTTCTCCAAGAAAAGGTCCAGCATTTCTTTACCTTTTTTTTCTTTTATTACGTACGTTTATATATGTGTGTGTGTGTTTTATAAGATGACTTAGACATTTTTTTTTTCTTAAGAAAGCTTTTTAAGTTTTTAAGCAAGACATTAAATTAAGGATCGTCAGAGAGTAAGATTTAGGAAAGTCTAACCCAAAAAATATATTAATGGAAAATTTTGAAGTTTTATATTGCAACCAATTTAGAGATTTCTATTTTTAAAAGATATATAAAATTGCCTACATAAAATATTCAAATAAGCGATACCAGCTTATAAGTTTATAAATCATTAAAATGAAACTTCCTTACCAAACTAATTTCAAACGAAAAAAAAAAAAGTTTCGTAATCGAAACAATTATTGACAAAATAATAGAAATTGTTAATTACTTTTAGGCATTGTGTTCATTTTTAACTAACTTCATGGATGAAGAAGTACTTGGCAACTATTCTGTGTGGGGAGTTTTTTTGTTTAGCCGACGACAATTGGACCTCGTTAATCCATCTATACTTGGGCCTCGTTTTTCATCAAATAGTTGGGCCTAGTCATCGTTATGTCATTGGCTCATTGCTACTTAGCTAAGACCCATATTGAGATCCAAAGGCCGGGATCGAACAAGTTTTGTTCTTCTTGAATCAGCATTAGAAGCAGCCTTGTCTTTATTATGTTCTTCATCCTAAGTATCCGTATGATGTCACGTGTCGAAAGTAACTCATGTCCATTGGTTTCATTTGTAACAATTTGATTTCTTCTTAAAGACTTTGGATTGAATAAGAATGTTCCTTCTTTTCCTTTTCTTCAGGACACTCGGATTCGTCAAGAGACTTCGATTATACTTACTTTTTCTCATCTCTTCTCAAAGTTATATGGATCATGTTTTGAAACACTATATATATATATTAGTTGTGAAATTATAATACAAACTTTATAATTCATAAGTATATATGTCTTTGCATAGTTTTTTCAATTATCCGGATAATGATTACGAGAGAAAAGCAGGTAGGTCGATCATGAATGTTTTATTTTGGCACATGTTGAATGTGAGGTCCCAGCCACCAATAAACTGATAAAGTCCTACATTATCCAATTCATTTAGCTACCTTTAAGTATAATTACGAAGATACAAACTTGAATTAGTCAAATCTTTGAGTTAAGACACTAAATGATTTTACAAAACTCGAATAATATAATACGAGTATATATACTTGTAGTTGTAGTAACCTTGGAGTACTAAGAATTCAATTTGATGATGAAATGGAAAAATGGTTAAGAAATGATTGGGAGATTATTCATCTAGCTACCAGTCTACCAACTTTCCAGCTTTGACAATATTTACCACGTGGCCCGGAAGAGCATTATCAAACACTTGTAAGAAAATAGATAATTTCGTGGCAGCTTCAGGCGGGTCAAGAATCAAAATTGGTCTGGTCAGGTCAAAGTTGTGGAGCTTTTATAAATATAGTAATCAATAAGTCGGCTAAACGTAAAATACATTTTCTAAATAAATGCAAAGATAATAGTAGTATCAATTTTGTCCCTCTTTTCAAATTGGAATCGAGTTTCGATAATGTTTTTCTTTCTTTGCGAAACTATTATATAAAAAAAACTAAATATTTACATAATTACATTGATTCATTCAAATGTTCTAAACTGTAAAAACATTCATTCACGAAGCAGTAAAAAAAAAAACTTGAAGTCATGGTAAAACGTTCCATGATAATTAATCGTAAAGATTTCAATACTTCGACATATTTCGTGATCTCCATTAATTTTTCTTTTTTAAAAAAATTGACTCAAAATAATAGTACTATTCTGAAAATGAAAAAGTAAAATAAAAGGGGACAAATATTCGAGATGTGACGTGGCAGATCGAGTGGTTTAAATATTCTATTAGCAAGTGGTTTGTGTAATAAGCAAATGGGTGGTCGAACCTGACCGTATTCTTGGATATATTCAACTGTAGCATCAGTCCACCCGTATTACCTCATCTTTCCTAACTTTTAATTCCTTTTTAATTTCCTTAACAACAACACTATTATTTATATTTGGTCTTATAAAAATAGCCTAATTTCTGTTTCAACTATGAATATTCCTTAATCCTCATCTTAACAATATGTTCGAAAATATGTATTTATGGAATTTCTTGACTTTCCCTTGGGATGGGAATATGAAGAATTGCATCATTTACCAAATCATATGAACACAAATAGGTATTCCAAATTTGTGGTTTTATTTTCATGTTTTGTTCGATTATCTTTATCCCCCCCAAAAAAAAAGTTTTGTTCGATTATATCTAGAATTCAAAACAGATTACAAAATTTAATTTATTAGCAAAAATGGTGTGTTTGAAGCCTTTGAAGTTATTAATTAATAAAAAAATATAAGAATGTAATTAGTGGAATTTATAAGTAAGTATTTTTTTTCTTTTGCCACATATATATGGTGAGCAATTTTTTATTTTGAGAAGGGAAAATCAATTTGAACATACATACATGTCACTTATTCAATTGAATAATACAGAAGAATTTAAAGTCTAAAATAAAAACAGGCAAAATAATAATTTGTTTTTTGTTTATAGCTCATATTATGGTATTAAAATTTTGGATTATGACATAACAACAATAATAATACAAATTAATCGGTTATATAATCTTTATTAAAAGTTATACGTTGAATAACTTAAAAAAAAACAGAATATTACTATATAATTATACAATGACTCTGCACCGTACCAATAAGGTAACCTCGTTATTATAAATGTCACTAGTATTTTAATCACACACTGAATAAAATTAATTAATTACTTATGTCCGTCCAGGTACATAATAAGATTCGCAGATACGGTCCTTAATTACTTACTATAAACTCTATAAAAACCAATTTTCATTTCCAATTGAATTGGTAACAAACCAAATCTCTCTCTTCTCTATTTGAGCCAAAAGCTTGAAGCAGCCATTAGCCTAAGAAACCTTCAACAATGGCTTCCATGGCTGCAATCTTAAGCAAAACTCCATTCCTCTCTCAACCACTCACCAAACCATCTCCAACCTCCGATATCCCCTTCGCCGCCGTATCCTTCCCTTCCAAATCCCTACGCCGCCGCAACGGATCAATCCGAGCAGGATTAATCGCGCCTGACGGAGGTAAGCTTGTAGAGCTCATCGTGGAAGAGCCAAAGCGACGGGAGAAGAAACACGAGGCGGCGGAGCTGCCACGTGTTGAGCTGACGACGATTGACTTGCAATGGATGCATGTATTAAGCGAAGGCTGGGCAAGTCCACTCGGAGGTTTCATGAGAGAATCCGAGTTCCTCCAAACTCTTCATTTTAACTCGCTACGTCTTGACGACGGCTCCGTCGTTAATATGTCGGTGCCTATTGTTCTCGCTATTGACGATGAGCAAAAAGCACGAATTGGCGAGTCTAAACGTGTCGCTCTTTTTGATTCCGATGGTAATCCCGTCGCTATCCTCAGCGAGTAAGTTCTTCTTCTTCTTCTTCCTCAATTTCGAATTCAGATGATTGATTAATAGAGAAGAAAATTGAGATTTGAATTTGATTTTGAACTTATCGGTGTTGAGATTAGTGACTTTAGGCCATGTTCGTTTCATAATCGCAAGCGATTGCGATTGCGATTGCGACTTCAGGGATGTGGTTCGTTTAGCAATCGGGCTACTGGTCGCTGTGACTATTTACCATTTAAAAAGCCTCATCATAAGTCACAGCGACTGATCGCTCCTGCGACTGTCAAACGAACAATTTTCAGTCCAAACGAACATTGGACTAGATCTGATTTTTTTTAACTCTGTTTATGTATCACTGTAGGATTTGTAAAATCAAAGTATCAAACTTCAGGCTATAGAGTATTTTTGTCAGTAGATACACTTTGAGATTAGTCAATGATATAGATTCATGATTGAACTTGGCTATATATATGTATTATTGGTTACTCAAATTTGTTTTTGTTTTTGTTTGATTAGCATTGAGATTTATAAGCATCCAAAGGAAGAACGGATAGCTAGAACATGGGGTACGACTGCTCCAGGTTTGCCTTATGTAGATGAGGCGATAACTAATGCTGGAAACTGGCTTATTGGGGGTGATCTTGAGGTTCTTGAGCCAGTTAAGTACAATGATGGGCTTGATCGTTTCAGGCTTTCGCCTGCTGAGCTTCGTAAAGAGTTGGAAAAGCGTAATGCGGATGCTGTGTTTGCTTTCCAGCTGAGGAATCCGGTTCATAATGGTCATGCTCTTCTTATGACTGATACTCGTAGGAGACTTCTTGAGATGGGATACAAAAACCCTATCCTTTTGCTTCATCCGTTAGGAGGGTTCACAAAGGCTGATGATGTTCCTCTAGATTGGAGGATGAAGCAACACGAGAAGGTAAAAAACTTACTGATTGTGTGTCTCTTGAGTGTGAGTGTATCTTGAAATGCTAAATGGGTTTATGAATCTAAAACAGGTGCTAGAGGATGGTGTTCTTGATCCAGAGACAACAGTGGTTTCGATATTCCCATCTCCTATGCATTATGCTGGTCCAACCGAAGTGCAGTGGCACGCAAAGGCTAGAATCAATGCTGGTGCTAACTTTTACATTGTGGGTCGTGATCCAGCCGGGATGGGTCATCCTGTAGAGAAACGTGATCTTTACGATGCTGATCATGGAAAGAAAGTACTAAGCATGGCACCAGGACTCGAACGACTCAACATCCTTCCTTTCAGGGTAAAGATGATGAAAATCCAATTCAAAAGATTCACACTTTTGTTTGACAATGCGGAGATCTAATTTCCTTGGTTCAATTTCACAGGTTGCTGCATATGACAAGACGCAAGGCAAGATGGCTTTCTTCGATCCCTCGAGGCCTCAAGATTTCTTGTTCATCTCCGGCACTAAGGTAATTTACTATTTCCCAAAGCCAAATCCTACATTGTTAAAATTCATCATGGTTTACTTATTAATCAAATCTCTAATGTTCTTCGATTTTTCAGATGCGCACATTAGCAAAGAACAACGAAAACCCGCCAGACGGTTTTATGTGCCCAGGTGGATGGAAAGTTCTGGTGGATTACTATGAGAGCTTGACTCCAGCAGGTAATGGTAGACTACCGGAAGTGGTTCCGGTTTAAGACAAAAGACAAAACTGTCTCTGCTTCGTTTCAAATTGTAACGTTTGTGTTGTGAAGCCCTTGTAGCAACAATCATTGTTGTATAGGAGAAGCCTATATATATTTTGGCCGGACCTTTTTCCAAATAAATACAGAAACAAAAATTTCGTTTTGCAAGATAATTTACGAAACTTGTAATATTTGGGCCTGAAACTTTTGTACCATATGAATGCGATTGTGTTTACGTACTTTTGACTTCATAAAATCTAGTGAATTTGTGGTAAAAAAAAAACAAATATCAGGTGTATATAAAAATTAATAGATGAGTTTTTGTTTGGCCCAATTTTCTTAATGGGCCTTAAAAGGCTAATTATTATGGCAACTAATGAAACCCGACGTTTCGTCTCCGGAGACAATTCACGACTGAGGTTTTTCTTCTCCGACGCTACTTTCATCATCAGAAAGTTGAAAACTTGAAATCGGTGTCTATTTTTCCGAAGTGGTTTCTTCTTTTGGTAATTTCAAGTTGGATCTACTTAATATTTTGATCTATCAAACCAAATTTTCAGATAGATTTCTGTCTAGGGTTTGGGAAGAAACGATGATATTACTACATTTTAGAATACTATGGTAAATCAATAATGGCTTGATGCTTAATGAAAAGTCGGAAACTTTGTGATTCTTCTTGATTGTTGAGTTTCTCTTGAATCGTTACATGAATGCAAAGTGTTTGTTTAAATGTCTGAAAGAAAACTTCAAGCTGATCATTTTGGTAGAATTAGTTAGCTTGTTTCTGTAGACTGCATAATCTTTAGTCAAAATGTGATTGACTACTTCTGATTCTTTGAAATGTCACAGTTTCAGGCTGAAGAAAATGTTCATCAAAGTCAAATTGCCATGGGATGTTACAATTCCAGCTGAAGATATGGACACTGGCCTTATGCTCCAGAGAGCTATTGTCATTCGCCTACTCGAAGCCTTTGGTACCAAGAAAGCAACAAAAGATCTTGGATACTTGATAACACCCACAATTCTTGAGAACATCGGTGAGGGTAAGATCAAGGAACAGACAGGCGAAATTCAATTTCCCGTAGTTTTCAACGGAATCTGTTTCAAGATGTTTAAAGGAGAGGTTGTTCATGGTGTGGTGCAAAAGGTGCACAAGAGCGGAGTCTTTTTGAGATCTGGCCCTTATGAAATCATTTACCTATCACACGTGAAAATGCCCGGTTACGAGTTCATTCCAGGAGAGAAACCGATTTTTATGAATCAGAACATGTCCCGGATTCAAATCGGCGCCAGAGTTCGTTTCATCGTGTTAGATACCGAGTGGAGAGAGGCAGAGAAAGACTTCATGGCTTTGGCCAGCATCGACGGAGACAATCTTGGCCCGTTCTAAAAAGATTCTAATCTGAATTTTCACTCTATATATATGCTATGTAAAAACGCCTTTGAATGAAAATCTTTATTCAAATTTATTAAAAGAAAAAACAAATCAATGCTTCATAATATATAACACTAATGTAAGATCAATTCAAGAGCCTCGCCTCTTCATGATCTCTTCTTCCATTTCAGGTAGCTAAAGAAGTGTCTCTCTGGAACTGGAACAGACTTCACTAACCATCCAATCGGCCACGAAGCAGCCGCGATCGCAATGCAAACTCCCCATTGACCCAAATTTAGCCTCTCTGTATCAGCAAATCTCTTGAGAAACTCAACCATTACAACTTGCAAAACCACAGTCACAACTATAATCCCAATGAAGAGCCTGTTCTTGTGTAAGCCCTTGAACACATTCTTCTTCTCCAAACTCCTGGCGTTAAACTCGTTGAACACCTGACAAAGCACAAAGGTATTGAAGATCAAAGTGTTCTTCACTTTCTCAGTCACGTCGAAAATCGACCTTCCTCTAAACTGAAGCACCAAGAGCACAGAGATCTGATAAAACGATTGAGCTAGTAGATTCCTCCACATGATGTTTGTGATCAATGGCGCGACTCTCCCTATTGGTTTCTTCTTCATCAGATCATTTGTTGGTTTCTCTGTAGCTAAAGCCAATGCACCGAGTGTGTCCATGATCAGATTAACCCACAGTAACTGAACCGCTGTCAAAGGAACGTCTCCGGCTGAAACTGCAGCCACGAAGTTGATCACTAGAGCAGCCACATTGACAGTGAGCTGAAACTGAATGAACTTTTGAATATTGTTGTACACGCATCTTCCCCATTTCAAAACCGTTGCAACAGAGGCGAAGTTATCGTCAAGAATCACAATATCAGAGCTCTCTTTCGCAACTTCTGTGCCTTGAATCCCCATAGAAAGTCCAATATCAGCTTCTTTCAACGCTGGTGCATCGTTGGTCCCGTCTCCAGTAACCGCCACAACATGGCCTAACTCCTTGAGACATTTCACCATAAGAAGCTTATCAAACGGTGAAGATCTCGCCATTACTTTGATTCTTTCGACTTTCTTTAACCTTTCTTCTTGAGTGTAGTTTCGAAACTCTTCTCCTTCTAACACAGCTTCTCTGTTCATCTCATCTTCAGGTGTCAAGATCCCACACTCTACAGCGATTGCTCTCGCCGTGAAAATGTTATCTCCAGTGATCATCTTGATGTTCACACCGGCGAATTGACAATCCTCAACAGCTTTCTTCACTCCAGGTCTACAAGGATCTTTGATTCCAATAATCCCAAGTAAGCTCAAGTTCTCTTCTTTCAACTTCTTGATATCTTCATTGTCTTCTGAATACGCAAAGGCGATGCAACGAAGAGATTTAGCTGCCATAGATTGAATAATCTTCTCGAACTGAATCTTATCATCTTCTTTCATCTCTCTCACAACTCCAGAACCATCGTAGAACGTTGAACACATAGCTAGAATCTTCTCAGCAGCTCCTTTCCAATGAACAACATTGTTCTCTGTGTTTTCTCCATTCTTCTTTTTTATCAACACACCACTTCTCTTCTTCTCTGAATTGAAACCTTCCACATGAACAACATTGTGTTCTTCAATCACTTCCTCCATATCCATGTTCAATTCCTCAACCGCCCAGCTAAGAATCGCTTTCTCCGTTGGACTACCGGAGAACTCATACTCTGTTCCTGCTTTAGCCTTAAACACACTCCCTGTAGTGTTCATTGCAACTCCTTGATGAAACAATTCAACAACTTTCTGAGACACAGAAGAAGCTTTTCCTGACTCGAGACCGAACCAGAAATCAGTTACCTTCATTTGGTTAAGCGTCAAAGTACCGGTTTTATCGGTACAAATAACCGTTGCAGAGCCCATTGTCTCACAAGCAGAGAGCTTTCTCACCATAGCATTATCTTTCATCATCCTCTTCATTGAATACGCTAATGTCAATGTCACAGCTAATGGCAATCCTTCAGGTATCGCAACTACGATGATTGTAACCGCAGCTGCAACCATCTTAACCACTGCATTCACGATTTCATCGCTCTTTGTCTTCTTTCCGTTATACTCACGGTTTCCGCTCTCGTCTTTCGTGGTTCCCGTGAAATAACGAATTAACAGAACCAAAAGAACCAAGAAAGCTACAAGTAAACCAACTTTACCTATGGAAGAAGTAAGCTTATCGAGACGAGATTGCAATGGAGTTTGCTCGTTCGTGTCACGCGAGATATGACTCATCATTTGTCCCCAAGCTGTGTTCATCCCAACGGAAGTAACCGCCATTTTACCGAACCCATCAGCGATCTTAGTCCCCGAAAACAAGAATGTGTTTCCGGATAAGCTAACCTCGACATGATCGCTTTCTCCAGTCATACTTGATTCATCAACGTGCAACAAATGTCCTTCAACGAACACTCCATCCGCTGGAACTTGATCTCCGATGTTCAAACAAACGATATCTCCAACGACAATGTCAAAGATCGAAATCTCTTGCCGACGTCCGTTTCTAACAACATCGATCTTGATGTTACTACTTACTTTAGAAAGTTTATCGAACTGTCTGTTCTGTCTGAAGTTACTGACCGCAGAGACAGCTACCACCAAGAACACCGCTACGAATATACTTCCTCCATCGTACCATCCTTCTTTCAAACCATGCTCTTTGATACCAAACCCGAGAGAGAGTGTTGCGCAACCGAGAAGGATAAGAATCGTTAGGTCCTTGAAAGCTTCCACTACAAAATAGAAGAGACTCTTCGATGGTTGTCTCGTGTAAGTATTAGACCCGAACGTCGAACGTCTACGTTGAATCTCATCACCTTCTTCGTTGATACCGAGACGTGTGTTAGTCTTAAGAGCCGAGACTAAACCATTAGGACCACCAAGAGACTCAAGTTTCTCTTGGTTCTTGTTCTTGACGAGATCGTTTAAGGTTTCAGTATCAATCTTGAAGTGATCATCTCCATGATGATCATCTTGATGGTGATCAAGATTAATGGCGGTGTAGGAAAGAGAACGAGGGAACAAACCGGGTTTTCGGATAGCGTGTTTAGCGCAATTGAGGAGAGTTCTTGAACAGTAGATCTTGATGAATGCTAATTGCCATTTCTTGTTTGATTTGCTTAGGGTTTTGGGAAGTTCCAGAAGAACCTCAACGCCTACCTTGTTCTTCTTCTCTGCATGATCAGAAACGTTTCTTCGCATTGTTTCTGGTATTTGCTAAACCGGAATTGATAAACCGAAAATCGAAGGAAAACCAGAAATTGTAAATTTGTTTTGTGAAAGCGATGTGTAAAGGATGCAAAAATAAGAGTTGATGTTATGATGTCAAATACAATCTGCATTGGTAATTTATAGTTAGTTCATTAGTCGGTCATTTTTGTATCATCCACGAAGTTTCCTAGCAATCACAACGAAAGTGACATTCACCAAAAATCTCTTAAAAGTTCATTTAATAATAAATCAATATTGATAATATCAAAGAAAATTATATCAATAAATCAATATTGATAATATTAAAAATATTATTGAATTAACCAAAAAACTTAAGTAGATCCTCAATATTCCAATCCCAAGTGAAAAGTGAAATTTCGTAGAACCGTTCGAAACAGTTTCGAGTTTTTTTTAGGAACACGTGTCAGATTGGGTTTTAAAGATAAAGTTAAAAGTCTTTGACCTGATCTGGACAAATATGGTCAACGTGATAATATTTTAAGGACAAACAGATGACTTGGCTTTTTTATTACTATAGGATATGTATGAAGTGTGTATCGTCCGTGTTTTATTTAGGTTTAATATCTAACTTCTAACATTCGTTATATCAATCAATATGAATGAAATAAGAGAAAGTTGGCCAAGTAGTGGTATATCGACATGCCTACTTTTATACATGTAAGTATAGTATATTCTTTGATTAATGATTAAGGAATCGAATTGTTAATATTTAATTATTTTTATTAACTTCTCCAAGATAGTTTATTACTAACATTTAAAGAGTTTGATACGTGTGAAATTCGAATTCATCTCAAACTTTAGTAACGGCTGATCCTAATATGAGATAATTTAATAATAAGATGTCACATTTATTATTAAACAACTAACTAATTAACTCTTACGTCAAATGGAATTGTGGCTTGTTCATGTGTTTTAATTTGTGGTTCGAGTATAAAATTTGTCCTCATGAAACTAGATATCAATCATATTACCTAGAGCCTACGTTATAAATCTTTTTTATCCAAACGTTACGTTATTACCTACTAACAAATTACTTTGAATTGTTGTAAAGTGGACAGTAACTTCTTGGCGAAGTCAGGTCTATCCACCTCGAATTATCCGAATCTATTCGTCAGGTGTAGAGAAATTTCATGTTATGCAAAGAATTTCAAGGTGTTGCTTATTTTAGTTAGCAAGAATAACTTTGGAAAATGGGAACCAAAATTTCCATGGGGACTTAATGTAGCAAGTCTCAACCACTATAAATGGATTCCTCGTTGGAACCAGAGCCGGCCACAAGGCCAAGCAAGCAAAGCACATGCTTGCAGTCACTAAATAATATCATTAATTTTTGGCCACATTTATGGAAAAATTTATGTGGTTTAGTGGTTATAACTCGGTAGAGCATTCAACAATTCGTGGGTTCGAGTCTTGAAGGTGGAATTTAAACATATTTTTTGTTTTTTTAATAACAAAATCATTAAAAAAAAATATTATGTGCCCCTTTTTTTTCCTCAGCTTGTAGCCATGTGAAACTCCGGGACGGCTCTGGTTGGAACCACTCATCACATTTTCGTATACGTTATATATTTCCCGTCAAGAGAAACAAAGAATGGCTTAGTTATGACATAAGGAAGAAGACGTAAGCAACCGAGAGTCGTTAAAAAGTGGAAAGATATGGGAATAAATTGGTATATTATGGCGAAATAGGGTTATGGTTAGTTTACAATTGAGAATTGACCCAATTTGTAACTAATTTGTGGATTACTTATAGCTGAACACATGTTATTTTGCTTTTGCACTTTGTGTAGATGATATTTTGTTTTGTTTTTTAATCATCTGGTTTTTGCTAAACTTTTTTATTTATTTATCAAACTATATTTGCTACACTTTAAAACCTATAAGGCATAAGCCCAATACAAATAAACAAATTATGAAGATTCAAGAATGATGGGGAGTGAAATGTAACTACGTAGTATAAATCAAAGGCAAAATCTATCATTCAGGTTTTTAGGCTCTTGCACATTTGTGAAATCGAAAACATGTCTTTGGCTCTCTTAAAAGTCCCTAAAAGTTATTATGTATATGTTTCATTATGTTCATGAAGCTGGAACAGCTTTACAGGATGGAAAATACATATCATAAAAAATTTATGGGGTCACAAGGATATCTCCGTTCAAAAAATGAGAATTCCATCGTTCATATAACTTTTCTTCGATAGTACGCTACTGCAATAATAATTATAAAAAAGAAGAAACATATTACTATATATAAATTATCCAATGTGGACGAATCTGTGGTCATTTGTTATTGACTATAAATTATATATAAGTCAATTCTCGAATCGTGACGTCCGTTGACCAAAGTCCTTTTATTTGTATTGGGCTTATTATGTATAGTCGGTCCACTTTTATTGTCTCTGAGTCTCTGACGCTGATGTTTTGTTCTTGCAATACAAGCAAGATTTTTTTGTTTTTTTGTTTTTTTTGGATATATGGAAGTTCAAGAAGGCTCTACGCCTTTCAGAGGCGGGATCCACACCAGATTAAATTCTTATTTTTTAAAAAATAAATCTCTTCCAACGGACGTCGAACCCAATACTTTCACCTAAAAGATTTATCATTGGGACAACACCGATAAAAAAAAGCATGATTTTCCGTTCATACGGATAAAAACTGTGGACAAGAAGAGTGTCCTCTACATTACATTAGCTAAACTAATTTTACCATTTCAAAGGTCCTTCCGAGCTCATTAACCTTTTAAGCTTTGAAGGTATGATACAAACCAAAGTCACCTTTCTCCACAATCACATGAACACAATACACAATTTTGCGTAAACCTTTAAATGTAAATCAAGCCTTTGTAATTTGTATGATCTGCGATCAAAATTTTGTTAAGCTTATAAAAAAGGAACTGCATCATCAAAATTGAAGACACTACTAACTAAAGGAATACCAACTGCTACAAAATCAAACTAACCAAAGCTATTTTCTTTATCAACTCCATTAATCCACAACAACAATTAATATAACCAAACCCTAAATCAAATCATTTCCCTTAACAGCTTTTCAATCTCAAATATTCCATTCAGATTTATACTATTCCCTCATAAAAAAGAACAAAAGATTGATCCAAAACGATAACGGAGTAACACCCATATATGCTAATGAAGGAACCTCCTAGCCTACCAAAACTAGAAAAACCGATTCAAATCTAACTCCTTTTTCTTAGTGGAAGGAGATGAATGTGAAAACTAACTCCGAAAAAAGTTGAGGATTATGTTGAGAACACACAATTACCAGCTTAATGCAACCACCAAAGAACATGTTAGAAAAACACTTGATAATAACGTTTCATTATTCAATGGTAGCCAAACAAAATTCAACAATAAAGGAACATAGATTCTGTTCCAAGTAACTGAAAATATTCTATTACCGAACCTCATTGAAGCCAACTCTGAACAGAGAAACGATGCTTCTGTTACACATCAAAAGCCCTAGATACGTAGAATATAATTATGACTATAACTACTGTTGGGGAGTGGTACAAATAATCAAACAAACAAACTGGAGATGACCATGGGACATCTTAATTAGTGTTGGGTCCAGAGATTAACTATGGTGTGTGTTTGGAGAAGGAGATGATGAATGAAGCAAAAGAACTCCGAGAAAAGTTTTGAGGATTATGACGAGAACACACAATTAAACATAAAGAAACGGCCTAACTTTTCATATTGGCATAAACTCAAAGATGTAATTAAAATAGTTAATAACACTTGATAAATAACGCTTATAGCAGATTTTCCGATATGGTTTTTTTTTTTTTTTTGTATCTAGCAAATATATAGCTAAGATTTATGCTTATCAAATATTGAATGGTAGCCAATTTAAGTCTAGAAGGGAACACCGGACTCCAAACGAAGGAAACCCACCCAAACATCAAAATAACACAAGCTACCACTGTAGTAAAGAGGACAAAATCTATACGATTTCTGAGGTTTATGAATTTAATATGATTGTGATTGTTCCAACTAAAGGTTTTCTATTTACATCCGAGTATATCTTAAATCTTAATAACAAAACTAAAATCCTGAACAATAACTAAAAATAGGCTAGGATGCACTCTGAAATATCTCCTATGAGCTCTGAATCGTATTTGAAAAAAAAAAAAACACATTCAATAAGGCTTAAAACAGATTCCTAAGTTGTTTTAATCGTCGTAGCAAATGATAGTCTATGCTTATCATTCTTCATTGATAGGCTAAGCTATTTAAAACACCAAAAGTCAAAACTAAACGAACAAAGAACCAAAACACATCAAAACCATGCAACCTACAATTATATTTATAAGATAGTTGCCTTCAGATATATTATCTGAAAGCTCACCGCAGTCCGCGATCACCACGGGCTTGGAAGGCGTCCTCGTTGTTGTACTTATAACCTCCTTCTCAATGCTCCTCATAAGATCCAATCCTTCAACAACTTTGCCAAACACAACGTGATCACCGTCCACTTGCACGCCATAGTCCTTCATGTGGATTTGGAACTGAGATCCGGTGGAGTCGGCCATGGAGATGATACCTGGACCATCTTCGTGGTTCAGGATGAAGTACTCGTCTTCTAATTCTTCGCCGTGGATTGATTCGTTTTCGAAGATGATATCTCCTCCACACCACATGAGATCGGGAACAATATCGTCGAAGATTGATCCTTTATAGTGCAGTGGTTTACCACACTTTCCGATGCCTCTCTCGCCGGTACACAGAGCCCTGAAGTTCTCAGCCGTACGCGGAGTCAAGTCGGCGAAGAGCTCTATCACGATCCGACCAGCGGGTTTTTCATCAACAGTCAAATCAAAGAAAACTTTAGGGTTAGCCATTGTCCGGGAGAAATCTAGTATTAGGGTTTCTATGGTTCTGTACAATTTATAACGTAGACTGAGATACCATAATGGAGCAAATTAAATAGTTCTTATATATATCAATAATATAGATTTTCCCTGTAATTGCTAGTATTTATCTTTTCTTAAATCCAACAGTACTTGAAGGGCTCTATAACTATAAGCCCAATAAAGAAAAAAAAAACTTTAGGCAATGTACTTAATAATCAGAGAAATTTTCTAGTCAAATAACCAATGATTTTTCCATATTGGATAATTAAAGCCCAAGTATTTGTGAATCCATCTCTTGTAGTACTTTCGAAACAGAAGTGATGAAAACAAACACCGTCACAAACTTTATCCAACTAAATTCGACCAAATCAATCTCTAGTTTTATTAGTTTAGAATGGTTGAACTTAATCTAAATATTTAGAACACATAATAATTCTAAAACAAATTAGTGTAGAAAGAACTAGTAAAACAAATTTTAAATCAATTTTGAAGTTGTAACTGAAATTGTATAATGCTAAACTGATATAGACCGAATTAACCCAAAAACGATATTGACGGAAATATGAATTGAAATTAAACCTGATTGGGCTTGGTATATTTCAGCCCATTGGTCCATACTCCATAGTATAACCAAAATGAGAGTGGTTGGTTATAATTTGTTAATGAGTTATTCGTTGACTGATGTATTCACCCCATAGAAGTATATATTTATTTCTTGGTCAAAGTCAAGCACTAAAACTTGAACAAACTTGTTGACAAAAAAAAAAAAAAAAAACTTGAACAAACTCCACATCAAGCTAACGAAGCATTTAGAAAAGATGAGTCCAATTTCTGAGGTTTATGAATTTAATATGATTATGATTGTACCAACTAAAGGTTTATATCTATACTATTAATTGGGAAGCACTCAAACATAAATAACCTTATAAAATGTAAAGTATTATAAAAATGCCATTGTTTTTTGTTTTTAAATAATATATTTAAATAAAAATAGTAAAATTCTTTAAAGTAATTATTAGTTTCCAAAAAATTAAACTCACTTTCTCTCTCATATTAATTATGGACGAAAATTAAAAAAAAAATTCTAAAAAGTTGTTAACCAATGAGAATTGAAAAAAATAAGATTTGATATCCAACTAAAATTTTATCTAAACCAATCCTAATAAACTATTCTATATCAAAAATAAAAAGAAAAATAATACCATTTTAATTCAAAATATAAAAACACTATCGTTTAAAAAGTTTTTTATCAATGGAGAATTTTAATATTGAATTTGAAATTTCATATAAAAATTAAATACAAATATTTATGACTCAGTTTTGTTATAATATTTTCACAAATTTTGAGATATAAAACAAAATTTTATTTCACAATTAAAAAAAAAACGATATTAGATATTAACAAATATTTATATTTACTATGAAATAAACTCAAATAATGATAAATTTAAAGTAATTATCGTTATGGCCTTCGTTTAGAGAAAGTTTCAGAAATATCTAAACAAAAGATTGTACATATTAATTTCGAAATATTTTGTGTTTTTTTTTTCTTTTCAACCGGATCTTCCTTAAACAAATCCATAATATATTGCACACAATTTTCGAAATAATGTGAACTAATTATATATTTTGCATTCAAAACAAATTATGCAGCAATAGTATATCCCTTTTATAGATGTATCTCAAATTTTAATTTTAGTCCCAAAAATCGAATTAATTATGATTAAACAATGAAAAGAAAAATATGCAAAATTTAGCTAGAAACACTAATAAATTTGTTTAAATATATTTGTAACTTTAACGGTATACATATTAATCCGCAAAACTCACAATATATATTATAATATTATATGATATTTAAAAGTAAGCAAATAAGAATTTGGAATATGATTTTAATGGAATAAAATGGAAATAGAAATTACGAGACGAGATGGGAGGGGAACATATATTAAAAATCAAACTAAATACCCAACTGGCATGAGTTCGGGTTATGAGCACTATATAAAATAAATTTGTTTACACATGTAACCATGTACATACATTTTCAATTACACATACTCTATTTATGACAGATATGGGACTATAATATTTTTATTTTACGTATACGTGACAGATTATGGGACAAAGAATTTATGACAGATACCGGACGGGATATTTTCATGTTCCAAAATAGTTACGCCTAGCTAATATACATGAATAACCCAAACTAAAACCAAATTCATATCCTATTTAACATATGTAATCAAACTGTTAGAACTGTTTTGATTAGTTAAGAAAATAAAAATGTAACACCACTTAACTTTTGCAACTAAATTAGTCCGGATCTTAAAATATAATTATGCATTAACACAACTGAATTTTGTTCATTACTCTAACTTATAATATTTATACTATTACGAAGTTCACTAACACAACAAATATTTTATATTTTTAAATCTCTATAAAAATTTCTATAAAAATATCTCTACACGTATGTGGATCCAGATCTAATACACTAAAATATATATCATAAAAAGTTAAAAACAATAAAATAATCTATATTTAATTAAAATTTGTTAAAAAAATTTTAAAATATGAAACCCCGCACGTATGTGCGGGTCATGATCTAGTTTACAAATTAAATCGGAGTGTCTTAATATATACTCGTACTTAAATTAAAATTCTGAACAAAAACAAAAATAGGCTAATTAAGATCTTAGTTTTTATCCTCAAACATGGGACGATTAGTCCATTAACTGGTCATTTATGTGTTTAAATAATTCCTAAGTGTTTCCATTAATCGGTTAGACTTTCAGCTAATCAATCAAACATCTCATTTTAATCGAATCATTTACTACTATTTCTGGATCATCCATTATGCCATATTTAAATTTGGTGAGCACAAACACTAACACACAAACTATTAGGTTATATGTTGTGGTCGGTTTTTAATTTATAAATTAAAAAAAAAAAAAAAAAACGTTGGCAACAAATATAGCACCGTAACCATTGACTAATTTGTACAAGGATTATGCTTTTAAGGTGTATTATTATCGTCGAACACTTTTTAGAATTATTAGGAAATTTTAAGAAATATTATCTACTACGTGATAAAAAAAATCTTGATTAACTTTTTCAATACAAATGATAAATAAAATTTGAAAGAAACACACTATACATCAGATACATATTAAGAATTCACACGCCAAAAGAAAAATCTACTTGTTCAATTGAGTATAAAAGCTTAAAATTAATTTAATTGGAACAGTGAAATGCGATATTCCGAAAAGAAAAAAAAGGATTAAACCAATTTATAAAAATAATAATACAATGAAGAGTAAAATTGATTTAGGATTTAACCATTGGTCATCATCATCCTGACAAATTCATCATAATTGACTTGGCCATCACCATCCAAATCTGCCTCCTTTATCATTTGATCAACCTCTTCATCTGTTAGCTTCTCCCCAAGATTGATCATCACATGCCTCAACTGTAATTATGTATCAAAATTACAAAGATTATATATAATAAGCACTATCTACTAATTAATGATGTTTATCTTTAAGCATTGATCATGGCCAATGCACAAGAAAAACAAAGATATGAAATTCATAAACAAAAAGATAGTGAATATGATCAACTATCATTATATTGTATAAATAAATGTAAATAGATAAATACTACTTCTATTCTTTGTTGTGAATTTTTATATTAATGGTTAAGAAAAAAAGTTATGGGAGTGATAAGAATATATAAACATATTATTTACACTAGGGTGAGACATATGCTCTGCCCAATAAACCAATAGAATCATACACACATTTTACTAAATGTTATCAATATTTTTAAATATTTCTTTTGACCTCGTTATCTCCAAAAAGTCATATTGCCAGCTAGCTCGAAGCCTCAAACAAATTAACTTTCTACGACGCAACACACACACTTTTTTAATATACTAAGAAAACATAATCAGCATACCTTGTTGTCATTTTCTTCTTTAAATTAAGATAAAGACACCTTAAAGATCTCTTGTAAAACTCGAAATATCGACTAGCCTTGTGATCTGATATTTTTATTAATGCAAAAGATTCTAACCTTGATTTAGCTATCTATTTTTTTTTCCCTTTTCAAATTAAATGCACAATTGCTGATAAAACAATAAGAAAATACAGAATCTAAATTCCGAGCTTGTGTAACACTTCAAGTAGAGCAAAAATTTTAAAACGTTTTTTTTGAGAAATTGGGTCATGTTAACGAAACTAGACACAATTAATACAATTAGGCAACTCATAAGTAAATACATATATCTTTATATGCTTCCAATCATTAATTAAATTTCGTATATAATTGAAATTTGTTTTAGAAGACTAGGAAAATTAAAAGGCAAAAAAGAGAGACATAAGCAACCATTTTGCTTACCTCACTGGCAGAGATGTAACCATTTTGGTCTTTGTCAAACACTTTGAATGCTTCTTTCAGCTCTTCATCTGCATCAGTTTCCTATAACCAAAACAAAAAAAAAAAAATCAATCAATAAATATTAAAACAAATATGCTTCATTGATGTAACTTTTTAGAATTGAACCTGGATTTGGTTAGCCATGAGGGTGAGAAACTCCGAGAATTCGATGGTGCCGTTGCCGTCAGAGTCGATCTCAGTGATCATATCTTGAAGTTCTTGTTCGGTCGGGTTCTGATCCAATGAGCGGATCACAGTGGCAAGTTCATCAGCAGTGATGCAACCATCACCATCTTTGTCGAAGAGACAAAAGGCCTCTTTAAACTCCAGTATCTGTTCTTGCGTCAGTTCTTGTTGTTGTTGTTGTTGTTGTTGTTGTTGAGTTTCTTCCATCCAATTAAAACTTGCTTAGTAGTATTCTTCAGAGAGAGAAGAGAAGAGAAGAGAAGAGAAAAGAAGAGAGAGAGAGCTTAAAAGCTTTGAAGTGCTTCAACTCTCATTCTGTTTTCCTATTTGTAGAAGTCTTTGCTTTGGACTCATTCACTTTTTTCCTCTTCTTTTCATTAAAGTTATATTTGGACAAATTATTTATTTGGAATTTTAATTCTAGTCACATGACACGAAATGTTATTTCCTTTTCAAAGAGTTTTATACGAACTAGTCAGGTGGGAAATTTTAGGTTAACTAGTAATTTGAGTGAAACTCTTTGAAAACTATATTTTAGTGTAGAATAGTTATATACTTTGTTCTCTTATTTAATTATACTTGGCTAACTTGAAGTCTTGAAGATCAGCATCACGTCAAATTTTTTGAAAGTTACAATGTTATACTCACTCCCTTTTTTTTTATAATTTGTTTTAAATTAAATGATTTCAACTTTTAATGCAAATCTAACTAATTTTTATATTAATTTTGACGATTTATATTCGGAAGGTCGGGTTACTATTAGTTGAATCGTATTAACCTAAATAATGAATGATGTGAAAATTTTGTTGAATCAATTTATTTGATGTTTCCAATTTTTAATTTAACATTTCTTACTATTATATTATTTTTGACTTTTAAAATTTTATAATTTGTTTTCAATTGTTGAATTGTTTTTAAGTAGATAACTAATAGTAATATTTTAAGATTTCAAAAAAAAATAAAATAATAATCTATGTGTCAATATCGTAAACACCAAATCAAATGAAATAAAAAGAGTATGTAACAAGAAAAATATATTATGCAGATGGTTGTGAATTATGTAATTTGTAACGATAAATGGAAATTACATAAAATGGAGTATGTGTATATGTAAAATAAATGGGTGTGGGTTTCAACTTCAACAGCTGTAAGAGTACATGACGAGGAGACAAAGAGCATTAAAATTGGTAGACCAAGCACTTGTGTTACGGGAAAACGTGACGATCTCTTTTTTTCTCTCATCATTTTCGGTTTTTAGCACAATATTCATCTTATTCATTTACAAAAATATTCCTTAATATTTTTTCAAATTTCTCCAGCCAAATCAGATCATTGCCGACCGTTTCACGCCGTAGATCCACCATGGTACGACTGTCTGTATGGTTGTTTACTTGATCACTTAAGAGTATTCATAGTTTTGAAAAAACATACAAGGTGGTTATTTAGTGATTAAAATAATATTTATAAAAATAATAATAATAATAATAATATTTATCTTGTGATAAAATTGAAAAATATGTGTTACTTGTCCATTAATTATGAAATAGAGATAATTTAGCCATTTTATTGATTTTTTACTAAATGTGTAATTTGTTAAAACGTCATATGTTTGGAAGCAAATCGTACTATTTGAATCTATTACACATATGTTGCCTACAAAAATGTACCTCGTGGGGTTAATCTCTTTCTTGTAATTTTATTTTGATTTATTGCATTATAATTTATAAATATAGTTCGACAGAAAGAATGTAAAATTCTTAAGTTTCAAAATTATAATTTATAAATTGCATTATGTATGTTATATGTGAAATTGTTTGAAGGTGTGTAAAGTTCATGTAATAAGAATTATTTTTTTTCATATCACTGTTAATAGTTTGCGACTTTGTGTAGATAAAGACTTTTCAAATTGAATTAAAAAGCTGACTCAGCTACACACCTTGTTGTGTAGACTTTGTATAGTGATACCGACATCTAAGTGCATGCTTAAACTTGTTGACTAAGCTGAATTGCCCTTGTCCATAATCATCATAATAGTCATTGTGGAAAAAGATATAATCTAATGGCGTAAGAGTTATTAAAAAATGTCAGAACCTATCTGGACCAAAATCAGACACACAAAAAAGACATTTTGATATGATTCAGTAATATTTCTTCATATGAAATAAGTAGAGCCTATTGATAATGATGGTCTTAAGTAAACCTGAAACAATTTTAATTTTTAACCCATACAAAAGAGGAAATTTTATCTTTAACTCGGGTAGGATTTCGAAGTGTTAAATAATCGCATCGAATCCAAAACTAATAGAATTTGAACCTTATGGTTTCTTTTCTAGACAAATTTTATGACTAAAAATTCCAACTGTACAGGGATCTGGTGATTCCCAAGACCTAAATTCAATACTATTGAACTTTTCCTTCATTGCAACATGTTGACTTGACTAGAATGTATATATTCGAAAATATTAAATGGAGGAAATGATGCATATATATGATACAAATATACAATCATTTAAATGAGCAAGTTCTATTCTGATTGATATGGTCTTATTAGAACTTAGTGATTTACTAATGTTTATACACAAAAATTTAAATAATCAGTCGTATTCTAATTTACATGGTCTTGACTCTTGATAGAATTTAGTAATGCTACTTTTATATAAAGTGCCGAAATATGGTACCATTAGCCACTAGTTATTATTACACAAGCTCACGTATTAGTGTTTGGATGCGTTTTGATTTTTGTAAAGTCAAAGTACTAAATGCTACTAACATCATTAAAAGTTGTGGTGACCCAATTAATGTTATTGCTTTTAGGTTTGTCTTTTATATTTGACCTCTTTGTTCAGCAAAGTATTATTGTAGCTGTTGAATGACATCTTTTAAGGGGTTGAAAACAAGTTAATGCCGTATATATGAAGGTACACTATAAATCGTACTAGTGTGTTTTTGACTACACATTTACATAATGTGATGTGAAATAATAGTTAGATTTCGGATAGTTATCTGAATTAGGATTGAAATATGAGGTCCACCCCAATCCCAATCTGATCAAAGAGACTGAAAAATGGGCAAACATTTTGCCATTTAAACCTATATTAGTTAGACCGGTTCATCATATATATAGTTGTTTTACTATCAATTTTGATGGTCATGGACCTATTCACTGGTTATTTCCTATTTATTCAAATTTGTCAAAACTTTTGGTTATGATTAGTTTGAAGTCAAAACATGTACTTTTCTTTATTACAATGAAGACTATAAAAGGAGCAACATATATATATATAGTTTATGTTATACCGATTAGTTCTTAATTTAGTAATATCAGTATGAATATAAAAATCATTACATAATGTTTATAAATAGAAATGGAAAATATGATAAACAAAGGAGAATTCTCTAAAAGTCGTCCAAAAATTGGCCTTAATCTCTTTTAGTGACTGAAATTTAATGTTTGTTATAAAAAAAAAACACAAGAGGAAGAAAAAACAACTCACACAGCTTGGTACGCGGTTTCATTCTTTTGTCAACCGTCCAAGATCTTAATGAGTGGTCGAGACTCAGAGATGGCATTACAAATTCATGAGATCTAATATTGTACGGACATTATTGCTTTTGAAATTGAAATAAGAAATAATACTATAAAGATAGATAAATCAAACGTTGTTTAGTTCTTGAAAAAGTTAAAGAAACTGACTTTGTCAGTCGAATACGAGCTGACCCATCAAATACATTTTTCTGCTTTCATTGTCTTTAATTTTCTTAGATGTATCAAAAGGTTTTCGAACCATTTGGAACTGATCATAGTTATCAAAATTAAACAATGGTAGAAGCCAAAGTGAGAGATACCATAATCTTAAAGCTAGCACGAGCGGAGGGTCGTGTTGACTAAGTCTAGACGACAGTCGTGTTTACAAGCAAGGGTTCATATTCCAGGTAAAGGGAGCGGTTCGGGCCTCTTTGCCTACTGTGTTGCTCAACCTACTATTAGGAACTGTGAACCCCGGCGAGTACTATTGACTGCCGTGTTCGACCGTCGTATTGACGGACCACTTATGCTAACCTTAAGAGAACAATACAGAATCGCGACTGTGTTTAGAATAGAAAGAAACAAGGTTTATGAAGAAAGTAGGAAGTCTGGAAAACTTAGAGAGAAGTTAGAGAAACATTTTAGAGAGAGAAAGCTATTATGAAATTTTATGATATTTCAAGTTATGGAATCTTACAAGGGGTACACACTTATTTATAGGAGGTTTTTAAGGCGCTGACATAAGCGCTTACCTCAGCGATACATCATCGCTTACATCATTGCTTACATAATCATTACATCAGCGATTACATCATCGCTTACATCATTATTTATTTTACATGATTTTTAACATATTATTATATTTATATTTAACATACCGCTTAATGATCCATTTCGAACTCCAGCATATATTCTTCGCAGCATCCATAATGATCACCTGGACATTCATACGAGTTTTCGATCATTTGTGCATCTCCTCCTGGTTGAACATTTATGTAGAACTTGAACTTCTTTTCGATTTCTTCAACATTTACTTCATCATCTGGGGATTGAGCGTCTTTGAAGTAATCGGCACAGTAATCTTGAGAAGTCACCTGGGGGTTTGTTTCTTCTTGTTTATCTTCTTTTGGACTGCTTGGTCTTCCTTTGTTGAACTTCATCATGTGATATTGTAAATCTTCATCAAGTTGCATCTGATAATCGACCGGATAATAAACCCAGTTGGGTATGAAAGGAATGGGGAATGTTTGTCTTGCATTGTTGAGGTGAAACGCATGAGTTTGAAAGTTTTCGTATGCTTCGTTATCCTGAAGGTTGAAATCTGGACGAACTCCTCTTGAAAAATCACCATGATGAATAAGAGTTGGAAGAGCGAGGATTTTGCTTGTTTTGCGATTGACCTTAACGGGACGATGAAAGAAGTAGATTGAATGCGGATTGAAGAACGGGTTGAGTCCACCTTTCTTCAGCTTCTTGAATGTTAGATTTGTCGCATTTGCGGATCTTCGTAGTTTTCCACTCCAGACAGTCAATGGTGAAAACCACCTTAGGAACGTTGAGAAGTTGTCTCTTTTGTCTTGAACAGTGTTGACGTAATGGTACAGCCATTGGATGTCGAAAGCAATTCCTACCGTGTAGACAGCACAGAGATACCAGAGGAAACAGAGAACTTCTTCTGGCATATTTGAATTTTCGATCCTGTAAAGATGAGCAAACGGATAGTCAGGATGAATTCCCATTGGAGCAATGTGATGACAGTTTACTCCATAGTTCGTCAGGATGGTAGATTGATATGAAAAGATCTTTGTGCGTAGTAGCTCATGAAGCTTGTTTCTGCTGATGAGTTGATGAACATCTTCGGGTACGTCTGCTTCAAAGTCATAGTAGCTCTTCTTGGTTTCGGAGGAACTGGCCATCATGTGTATCTCGTAGGGCGTTTCTTGTTT